ACAAGGCAGGTTCCTTTTGGCAGTCGTCCCAAACTTTTGGCAGTTCACCTCAAACTTTTCCTATAGATCACACTTCTTGTTCTTCCTCTTCTCCCCCCCCACCCCCACCCTCCAACCTTGTGACTTTTCTTGCATAAATACTTGTACATTGAGGGAAAAATTACAGACATAATGAAACTTTTTTTCTTTTTTTCCATGAGCAGAGTTGTTATGTAAGACTATTGCCGCAGTATTTATCTCCAGTTGCTTTTATCGCGGCCGTTTTTTTCTGATTTTCATACTTGTCTGTTGCTGATTCTTCATCCTCATGTGAGAGGAAACTTTATAGCCGAGCATGAATTTTGGCGGATGGCTATAAATTGGCAATGTGTATAGAACTGCACGTTCCAGATCCTGTCGAGTGATTTCAAAATATTCAAAACAATGACAAATAAATCACTAAAGCCTTTAAGAACCGTTTTAGTGGTGCGTAATGTATGGAAAAGAGCACTCGTGGAACAGACTTGCTGAAAACTATTCGAGATTGCTGGATTAACCTGTAAAACAAAAACGAGCGGTAGGCTGGTCCTAGCTGGACAAGCAGCGGGAAACCTGCCAGATGGTCCTGTCAGTGGCCAGTTTTACAGCTTTAGCCAGTTAATCTCCAGCAATATCTATCCTACAGCCCACTCTGGGGTGCTCAGGCCTGGCTCTTCCCTACGTGCGTCTACTCTCTGGAATTACGTAATGCAGGGCGCTGTCCTCCAGGGAGAGAGTGTGCATTCTGTTTTAGATATAGCGTAGGTGGCACGATATGTGGAATTAATTCCCTCTTATTTGAATATTCAAGCATGGTGCAACTAGCATCTAATTTTCCTGCTAACTAATACACGAACAATCAGTCATAAATTGACGATTGAGTAACTGTAGAAAGAATCCAGGCTGCTATAAAGAAAGGCGGATCACAACATTTGCAAGTAATCTTTATGTAATTAAGTGTTTTCTCTGAGTCAGAAGATTGTGGGTTCAAGATCCAAATTTTCTTTTATCTTGTACCAATAATGTGAAGTGTACACAATTCCTTAACCCCAATTTGTCAAGAAAGGCTCTCAGAACATGTAACGATGGATACGGTAAACTTCTAGTATGTGATTTATGTGAACTGGCAAACAAATGTGGGAATCGGCAGATAAACTGGTATTTGTCCCAATTAATTCCTCAAACATAGTGTTGTAATCAAATTCATGAACCTTGCAAACTTGTGAATAAAACTGCAGAAGTTGGTGTCTGACTGAATCTCTATATCTGGTGCCACAGTGCCATCTCGTGGCTTCTATAGGGCAAACTGCTTAGAGTTGATTATTAGTCTCAAATGCTTCTAAACTTTGGATTGAAGTTGAGCTTTCTTTTCCCCACTCATAGCCTTCTTTGACAAGTGCCCATGGTAGTTAGTTGGTAAGGACTGACTTTTCTATTTTAAGTGGCTACAGAGGTCACAGGGATCAGCTGTGCTGGTATTCTGATGCAGTCTCTGATCAGTTTAGCAAAATAATTTAACACCGTGTAGTTCACAGGCAGGAAATTTGTATTCACAAAATACAGTTGTATGGTTATAAATTCTACCATTCTATTTTTTCAATCGCAAATACGGTGCAATGTCTGGGACAGTGTGCAAAACAGAATAATTGCAAATTTAAATCGCACTGTCAGAGCTGTTTTAACAGCTTGCTTTTCTTGGCACTTGCTAACATGAATGGACGGCTGCCTGAAGCAACGCTTGTTTTAGCTGTAACAGAAAATGTATTGCATTTCACTTACCAGGTTTAACCCAGTTCTGAACCATTACAGGAAGCTTCTTAACTTGTCCTTCCTGATGTAACCTGGCCAGGGTTGCAGCAAAGAACCGTGGATTCTAAAATAATCAAATATTGGATTCCAGTTGGATTTTTCACATCAGTTTGGTTCTGCTTATTGCCTAAATATTCTGACTACTATTTGCTTACAGAAGCGGACTGAACTTGCTGATATCATGAAAGCGTTCATACCTAAGATAAACAAGATTTATTTTGTATTTTCCCAGTGTGCATTGTCCTCCAGTAATGTTGATTAATTTGTGTACCTTTATGAAGATGGAACCATATTAAACACTAGAGTGTAACTTCTGAGTTAAACTCTCATGTTTACAATAGCAATTGATCATGTAGTATTGTAATCACAGTAGTTGCCAATGCTACCTATGCATGTAATTGCAAAGTACAACGTGTGTGTGTGTGTGTACATAGTGGAGATCAAACTTAGCACAAGTTATGGATTTACTTTACCTATTAGACATCGAGTGTCCTATTTTTGACACAGAAATACTGTATGGTAAACGTTCAATCCTAGGAGAAGGGATTAAATGTGTCTGGGCAGGAAGTTTCAGTAAATAATAATAATAATCCTTGCATTTGATATAGTGCTTTTCACGTCTGGAGGACGTCCCAAAGCGCTTCACAGTACACACTGTAAAGTGAATTGACTGCATATTTGTGGGCGAACGCGGCAGCCAATTGCGCACAGCAATGTCCCACAAACAGTCGTAGATTGAAAATGACCAATTTATTATTGTTTTTGGGTTTTGGAGGGATTATTAATAGGCTCTGTGTGGAGTAAGGAAACTTGCCCAAGGTTTGGCCCTGCCTGTAAAACTCATTGTGGCTTCCTTTCTCATTCTGTTGTCAGTCAACAACAACAACTTGGATTTATATAACGCCCTGGATTTATATAACGGGGAGGGGGGGGGGCGAGAGAAGGTGACCAAAGGCGCGGTCGAATAGAAAGGTCTTCAGCAGAAATTAAGAAGGGAGGGGGCGAGGCGAAGGGTGTGAGGAAGGCAGTTCCAGAGCCTCGGGGCGCAGTTGCTGAAGGCACGGCCGCCGAGGGTGGAGCGGAGGACTCGGTGGACGAGGAGGAGGTCAGACCCGGAGGGACGAATGCAATGGGTACTGTTTTGAGGAGAGAGGAGGTCAGAGAGGTCGGGGGGTGCAGAGGAGTGCAGGGATTTGAATACAAGAGTGAGGATCTTGAAATCAGTCACTCTGCCTTGGTCTTGTTCCTGAACTTTCACGCTTTCTCCCCTCCTTCCCCCCCTCTCTTACTTTCACACACATCTTGGGTCAGTGTTACACTTGTTTGTTTACTTTTAAGCATCCTGTGGGTCTCTTTAGTTTCATTATTTTATCATCTCAGATCTTCATTGTTTCCTTTTTTTCTGTCTCCTTGGCTTTCTATATACATGTGTCTCCCAACTGGACATGACCAACCTGAATTTGTCACTCTTGTTTACTTCCAATGCTTCCAACTATTTGAACAGCTGCACCATGAATTTTGCTGTGGCAAAATATTTTCCCTACAGATGCGAACTTTTAAACGCGTGCTTTAACTAGTGTTTGTTTAAGCTAAGATTTTCCCACTTCCGAGCTTAAATTCACGCCCTAAGGAAATTTTGTTCCTTGACCCTTTTGATTGTATAATTGCCTCTCAAACAATTTGTGCTCATACGCTGCATCAGTGGTATTGACTTAGAAGACGATTACTTTTAAGAGCAGCATTTAGAATAAAGAGCAGGGGAACATATATGACTGCTGTCTCTCAACTGCTTCAATAGCTGGCGGCATCGCTGTTTAGAAAGTGTTCTCTATATATGATCTTAATAATAGCTCAAACCCTCGCGGTTGTAAATGTTGATGAGATTTGTAACTTCTCTGACTTTGTGCATGACTGGATCATCCTGCGTTTAGTTTCTCTCTGTGATTCGCTCTGTGTGCTTTTGCCCTCTCCTCTGCGAGACTTGGTTGTTTCTGGGACCCGTAGTTAAAACCAAAAGTCATTTAAAAAAAATCTAATGGGCAATTGTGTTCATTTTCATTGTTTTCTAAAATGTTTGATTTTAAAAAAATCCTATTGTCAGTTAAACTATGGTATTTTTTCCCCCAAACTGATCTTGTGACTTTTGTTTTGAGAAATAAATTAGAAGATGGACAGTGCCACCTCGTGGCTGTACTGTGCAAAGGGGTAGTAACAAGTGTACCTTTGATTGGTGGATAGCAATCTTTAATTGCTATTGTATTTGTACTTGATTGTCACCTGTAAATGATATTTCTACAGGTAACGCGCGGATAAATGATGTACTTGAGAATTTCTAAAGAATCCAGCTCCCTTTACATGCCGCACAAAACAACAACAAACTGGCTTTATACAGCTATAGCGCCTTTCGCACCGGGAGGACGTCCCCACAAAACCTACCATAATCAGGATTTACCTGTCCCCTCCACCCATCCATTTCAGATCAGTGATGATCTTATAAAAATGGCAGAACAGGCTTGAGGGCCTGAATAGTCCTGTTTCTATGTTTCTATCTGCTGTGGATGTTCTGCACAGAATCCCCAAAGGGAATCAAGTAAAAGCTTCACAATTCTCTTCCATCCCCACACTTGCACTTTGAAATCACTTGTCATCTTTCACAGAAAGCATTCCTCCCCCTCCCCACCCCACTCCCCTCGTCTCTCTCCAAGCATCATGGAATGCTGTGGCAAATGCAGTATTTGTTCACCTGAATCTGCCCTTATATCCTCAATCTATTTTTTGGGGATAATCAACTTACAGTGAAAATCATTTTTTTTATTGTGAGCTTCTCCCCTTAATCTGGTACCCGAAGCCTGTGAATCATTATTGTTTCTCTTTTCTTAAATCCTTCCCAATGCTTCAATGTCCTTTTGAAGATAAGTTATACAAGACTGTGTGCACTATCACAACATTGGCCTCACCAGTTATTTACACAAGGTCAGGATAACTTTTTTCCATTTAATTGAATGTCCTCAAAATACAGCCTTGTGATCATTGGTTTTATTAGAGTACTTTATGATTCAGAGCAAATGCAAATTGGGTATGAGCTCTGTCATTTTGTTCTACCTTATCAAACTGTTTAAGAGCAAAGCTGGTCCATTTATAACCGAGTTTCTTTCTTTTGTGTTTTTTTCCAGCTGTGTTACTTGCCCAGTGACCTAAAGTGACCTTGCTCTTCCTTGTCGTGTAGTCTGCCGTTAATCTGTCTTTAACAAGAAGTTGCCCAAGGGAAGTGCCTCAGAATGTGTCATTAGACGATTCATCAAAGGTGAGAATAAATTGCATCTTCCTTCCAGGCTGTGCACAGTGATGCAACTGTAATCATTGGCTATCAAACAGTTTCTTATGCGGTGCCTGGCTTGAGCCATTCGGCTAACTTACATCCGTTCATTTTAACATGATCTGTGGTGGGTTTTTATGCATGTATGGTGCTCCAGGCAGCTATGCTGTGATGGGGGAGGGTTTAAGACTGATTGGTGTTGTGTGTCGGGGAGGGGGAAGGTGGTGTTGACAGGTTCCATCTCAGTAGAAGTCAGAAAATATCTCAATCTGGTGCCATTCTAAACTTCAGATATGGCTATTTTTGTTTCTGTGCTGCACTTGGGTCAGATTGTAAAGTGCCGTACAGCAGGGCAGGGTGTATCTACCCACGGCAAGAAAAGCCTGTCAATGCCTCCCATTTGTGTGGCGCTGTTCTTACTGTTGCAAGCGCGAACGTATTGTGGGACCACTCTAGGCATCAGGCTCGGTTTAGAAACTGAATTGTTTATATTGCAGAGGTGATTCCACAGTAACCATAACAACAAACAGAGCCGTGCACGCAAAACACATTGCTGGCCTCTAAGGTCAGGCTGAGCCGTTCACACAAGGCTGTCTCTGTTGGTAACGCCAGTCGCTGTTTGTTGTCAGGAGCAGCGTTGTCTCTGAGTTGCCCACAGTATCACAGCCTTCCCTGGTACGCACTGCTTTGTTTACTGCTCTTGTGTGCAGTTTGATTTACAGTTATTTCCACTTCAACATCAGGCAAATAGAGAAATATTGTAAGGAATTTAAATTTACTTAATTTAGGATCTATTAACAGTAAAGGAAAGGCAAAAAAACTGTTGAGTGGAAACTGCTTATTTTTAATCAAGTTCAAAAATGATGAAGAATCTATCCCGAGGTGTATAATAATCTTAAGTAGGTGATATTTGGGGGTCGCAGGCATCTATTTGTAAGCACTTTAACCCACTGCTTTATATTTCTATGATGCCTGAATAAAAAGAATGTTCTTTAAGAGTGTTGATTAAATGTCAGTTCCAACCAGCCTGTGTTTTGCTTATGAGCGTGATGGCCAGCTGAATCACTCTTGTGATTTCACTTTCTGACCCAATTCCCTTTTGTGTGAGTGTCCTCTCTGCTTCTGGGGACAAGTTCCCATTTGTGTTCTTTCTCTCCTCTCCTTCCGAAGGGCCTGAAAAGACAGTTTCCTAAGTGGCTAACCTGTTGGATGCAATATTAATCAGCAGAACATTGCCTTTTCTTGTCCAAAACTAAAGACAACAATTTTCTGTTCAGCAGTTTTTTTGTTTTTTGATAAAGTAAATGGTTTCATGTTGCGGTGCTGATCTATTTGCGACAAATCAAATTGGAACAATAATTGTTTTGCAAACCAGCCAAGATCATAGATGAAATTGTCGAGTGCGTGAAAATGTATTTCCTTTGAAGATCAAAGGCCCCAGAAGTGAGGAGATGAAAGTCTTGCATACTTGTCAACTGCAGATTCAACATATCTGAGTTTAGTTTCGAAAGGTTACGAAAATGAGACAGCATAGCACTACAAAGCAAATCTTTTCAGTTTTTTTATACTCCCATTAATTGCAGTTGACAAAAGATTATGATATTATTTCCAACATTTATTAGTTCAAGGAAAAGGCCTGTTTCTTTGTGAGTGTTTATTTTCTATTCTAACCGTTTTAGAAATACCTTTTTTTTGAAAGACTGAAAACATTTGAAAAGTGCTCGCTTGTTCAGTCATTTGTTTTCCTACAGCTAATTTTCAGGGATGATTAAAAACATTTTATTTGGTTTATCAACATTGCAACTCAGTATGATGAGACCTGGCCAGGCAGTGAAACCTGGCCAAGTAGGGCAGTCACTCATTGTCTTCCCTTCCCTCGCTTGCTGATGCCTACTCCCACATGGACCGGTAGGTTACCTATATGCTTTATAAGGACTGTTGTGTGCTGTATGAGAAGGCAAGGGATAGCTATGAAGGAGCAAAAATAAGAGGTTAAAAAAATTAGAATGGGCATTTCTTTTTTGAGCTTTGGGTGAAAAATTCAACATTATAAATTGTGTCAGAAGTGAACGCAACATAGGTTTACAACGTCACATTGCTTTTGAAGCACAGAGTGATGGGTAATTAAAACTGATTTACCTTCTCAGTCAGGAAATTAAAATATGTTTTTCAGCATATCTGTATTGGGCAGCAAAGAGAATGGTGTTCAGCAGATTTCGGGGGGGGGAGAGCCTGCATTACTTTTGCTTTTAGCCCTGAATTTATAGATGTTTCTAGTGTGGCTAATTAAAGAACTCTTGTTGCGAACAGTAAGGTGAAATATAACTGTCAACCTGTGGTTGTTAAACCACATTTTCTTTATTGGGGGGAACCGTTACCACTTGTACATTTAGCATATGATCTGAAAATATTGTGACTCATTCCAATTTTCTCTCTTTCCCTCATTCTGTGTTGTGTGTCTGTCTGTCTGTCTGTTTAATAGGCTTACCCTCGAGTGACCTCATGGTTTTGAGTGGGACCAAAGATGAGTATAAGCAGTGATGAGGTCAACTTCCTGGTATATAGATATTTACAGGAGTCTGGTACGTATATTGATTCCATATTCTTAAAAAATGGGCATTGAGATACAGAACACTTATTTTATTCTTGTTTTTTCTTCTATTTATTCTCTTGGTCCAATTTACCATTTCAAATTTTTTAAAAAAAATTAGACTTGTTGCTATTCTCCTCATGCTTCTCTTCTTTTTGCAGATGCATTTATATATCGTCTTTAAAGGTCAAAATTCTAAACATTCCGTCCGATTCAAATGGGCAGTCTCTGCTGTGATAATCCACGGCACCCGGTTAATAGCCACTTTTGAGAGAAAGTAGTTTTGAAGTAATTGGGAATTGATTTGTCATCTTTATGAATGTGGCACCCTACAGCTCTGTGTTGAATTGTAATGACATAATAATCCTTGCATCTGAATCAGCGCCTTATGTTGTTGAGACGACTCAGAATATACTGTAAAGTGTAGTGATTGCGTATTTTGAGGGCGAAACACGGCAGCCAGTTGCACACAGCATTGTATCTGCTGGTTCATAGTTTGTTTTAATCATGGTTGAGTTTAAATGTGTTTGCACTAATTCCTAGTCCTGGTTTTGGTGCATATATTTTTCTTCACTGGGTAATGTATGTTTATCTCCCTTTCCCTCCCCAAAGCTTTAGAATTTATCCTTTTTTCTTTTGTTTTCACAAAGGTTTTTCACATTCAGCGTTCACATTTGGTATAGAAAGTCACATCAGTCAATCCAATATAAATGGTGCCCTGGTGCCTCCAGCAGCTCTGATCTCCATCATACAGAAAGGTTTACAATATGTGGAGGCTGAAGTCAGCATCAATGAGGTTCGTATCCAACATGATCGAGAGATGTACGGGATGGGGAACTGGGAAGGCAAAGGCCAATTTTGTAATATCCACATTCCTTTCTTATCTAATCCTTTCTGTCTCAATCTCCACACCACACATTGGTGATTCAGCACAAACCTGTGGCATTTTGTGTTCAAAGCCCTTTGAATTTAAGCAAAATATCTCTGACTAAAACATACATTGGGAGTGGGAAAGGCAGAGAATCTCGCCGAAGTCATTCAATTCTGCGAATGTATATATTTTGGCTGCATTTTCTTTAGAGATGAGAAAATAGTTTCTTTTATCATGTAAACCCCCACAGATTACTTTGATTTCTAATTAGACATTTTTGTTGTATGTTTCTTCATCTAATCCCACGCCAGTGTAAACTGTTTATTCTGAATCATTGGATTTCTGTTGTAGGATGGCACACTGTTTGACGGGAGGCCGATTGAATCGCTCTCTTTAATTGATGCTGTAATGCCTGATGTGGTGCAGACGAGACAACAAGCGTACAGGGATAAGCTACAACAGCAGCAAGCTGCTACAGCTGCCCCCACTGTTACAGCAGTCAATCAACAAGGAGCAGCGAAGAACGGGGAGAATACTGCAAACGGAGAGGAGAATGGTGGACACACAGTCACCAGTGAGTTTACAAATGCCAAACAGCGCCTTTTTAGATTTTCCTATTGCAAGTCCGTAATGCAGTTCAATGCAGATTACTTTAGGTTTCTGAAAACTGCATTGTTGTCATAAAAGGGGAATTAGTTTGTCTTGTGAATATTTTTTTTCAAGTTTTTTAAATTGAAATTTAGTATTAAAAAAAATCCCATCAAAGAGCTACTTAGGAACATGTCAAACACTGGAACTGAGTGAAGACCCCATATTCCAAAGTGCATCACGATATCTCAGTGACATGTTTTGAAACTGTCTTTATCACAAAAACAGTGTGTTTCGTTCCTCAAGCCTGTAGACTCGAGCTGTTAACATTTCATATATTTGGCACAGGATTTTGCTCACCACATGTACTCGAATACTCTGGTTTCTCTTGAAATCCGAGGAGCTAACATCTGTAAATGTGCCATATGCAATATTATTGTACTGCATCTCTACTGCTGGGATCAAAGACCTCATCTGATGTGCAATGGGAAGCTTAATTGATATTTCCTGCTTCACAATGAAGTTTTAGCTTACCACTTGCATAAATTTGGATGTTATTTATTGAACTGTTTAAGAGTGGGCCAAGTGGCAATCTAAATACTAATAAAAAGGACCCTTCAAACCTAGACTTCCCATGAAATGTCCTGGGGCCAGTTGGTAGCCAAATGGATTGGATGTTCAGTCTGCAGCGGGGATGAACTGAGGTGCTTCTGAGACTACCCGTGTCTTGTGATGTTGGAAGAAGAGCTCCAGCACAGTTTGCGTTTAACTCAAACCACATTTTATATTACGTATTTCAGACTATTTAGTGGTCAGATTAACAAATCACAAGAATTCAAAACACCATGTACGATGAAGGTAAACTGACTGATGAAAGAGTTTTATCTTGTTGCTTTTACCTGTCAGGTCATTAAAATCAAGCGGCATAAACTAGGTATGTGCTGGATTTGACCTGTTCCTTTGAGGCACGTTTCCTCCAGTCAATGTATTTTGCTTTCTTTCCTCCACCCTAGGCTTTTCACATGACACAATTTGTAAAAGGGAAACAGTTGTTTATATATTTACTCAAATATTTGTGGGATCTGCATTGTATTTCACGGTGTAGGATGTAAAGGCATTTCCAACCTCTGTATGGATGCGAAAATGTTCCATGCTGAACCACTTGTTTCCCCACGAGTCAGGCCAAAACTATCTGGCTATTTCCCTAAGAAAATATATTTTTCTGAAGTTCCTAAGAGCTGAGAGATCAAATTGCATTTTTGTCCCACATTTGAAATAAATCAAGCTTGACCAATTTTTAGTTCTTAAAAAGAAAGAAAAGGAATGTTCTTTTATGATGAAGCTTACCGCAATGCGCAATAACGCAGGTTACTATTAATGATTGCCCCAATTCAGTCATACTTTATGGTTTGGGCAAACATCTATTTTTGATTCTGTTTGATGTTATACTTTTGAACCTAGCTTTGATCTGCTGGTATCCTGAGAATTTACAATCGCTCGGCTCGTAACCTCTCAGAATAAATTTTACGGAATGTTATTATTGGTGCTGATTTGATGCATTTTCCTTGTGATTTACTCGACGTATTTCAGTGTTCTTCATTAATGTGATAACAGATAACCATACAGACATGATGGAAGTTGACATTGATGTGGAAATTCCACCCAACAAAGCTATGGTTTTGCGTGGCCACGAATCAGAAGTCTTCATATGTGCGTGGAATCCTGTCAGTGATCTCTTGGCATCTGGGTGAGTGCGTTCACCAACAGTGGATGTGCTGTCATAAACTGTCGGTGCTCAGATGGGGGAAGCCAATCTTTTTAAAAAGCTTAATCATGGCTTCGACAAAACAAGGTTCATATAATTAATAATAATAATAATCCTTGCATTTGATATAGCACTTTTCACATCTCGATGTCTCAAAGCGCTTCACAGAATTGATTGTAAAGTGAATTGACTGTATATTTGTGGTCGAAACACGGCAGCCAATTGCGCACAGCAGTGTCCCACAAACAATCGTGGATTGAAAATGACCAATTTATTATTGTGTTTTTTTGAGGGATTATTATTAGGCGTGTGGAGTAAGAAAACTTGCCCAAGGTTTCGCCCTGCCTGGGAATCAAACCCAGGTCTCTCGCTTGCGAGTGCTCCAACCACTGAACTGAGCTACAGGACTCCACTATAGATACAAAGCTAGACATTTCCATAATCAGATTTATATAATTTAAACATATATATTTCATGGCCTCTGTTTGCCTGACTTCAAACTTGAATCTTTTGAATGATTTGAGACTTAGCATTTCAATTGAAATTTGTGGCTTTATGTTTAAATGTAATTTTTATTCTCGTTATCCAGATCTGGAGATTCGACAGCTCGCATCTGGAATCTGAGTGAAAACAGCACTGGTGGCCCCACCCAACTCGTACTCAGACACTGCATCAGAGAAGGAGGGCAAGATGTACCGAGCAACAAAGATGTTACGTCTTTAGATTGGAATGTGAGTGAATGTGTCGTCAACATTTTGGGGGGAAAAACAAAGGAATCTGCTTTGATAGAGAATTCTAATGGATCCATTTCTGTTCTCTTTCTTTCTTCGCTTGCGCTCCTACTCCTAGGGCACATAGATTTAAGATAATTGGCAAAAAGAACAAGAGGGGAGATGAGGAGACATTTTACTACACAGCATTGTTACTATCCTCATCCTCACCTACAAGGCCATTCACGGCCTCGCTCCCGCCTACCTCTCCGACCTACTATCCCCCTACCTACCTGCCCGTACCCTCCGTTCCTCTGGCTCCGGTCTGCTCCACATCCCCCGCCCCAACCGCCCTACCATCGGTGGTCGGGCCTTCAGCCCCGAGGCTCTGGAACTCCATCCCCAGTGCCTTCACCGCTTCCTCCCTCTCCTCCTTCAAGGCCGGTCTCAAGACCTTTCTCTTTGACTGTGCCTTCAGCTCGACTCTCTACCCCCTCCTCGCTCCCTCCCCTCACCCTGACCATTTCCCCCCAATGCTCGGGTCCCGACCCAACTGTCCAGCGCCTTGGGACGTCCTCCCGACATGAAAAGCGCTCTATAAATGCAATCTTGTTGTTATTGTTGTATCTGGAATGCACTGCCTGAAAGGGTAGTGGAAACAGATTCAATAACAATTTTCAAGGGGGAATTGAATAGGTACTTGAAAAGGAAACATTTTCGAGCATATGGGGGAAAGAGCGGGGGAATGGTAGGCCTTTCAAAGAGCCGGCACAGGCACGATGGGCCGAATGGCCTCCTTCTGTGCTGTAATATTCTACGATTCTGTTGCTTGCATTTATTTACCTGTATGCACTTGCCCACCTTAAACCTAACGGTAGATGTATAAATAGCCACATGTTGCCAATAATTAGTAACTCACAAAGCAACTTCTGTGTCTTATTTATTTTTAAAAAATCATTGCGTGGGTTCTTCATCAAAACCAATGTGTTTGCGTTCGCTGTCGCTAAAGTGACAACACCGTGGAATTAGTTATTTAAAGTGCTAGGGGATTCTTTTACCTTCCTCAGTTAATACACACAAACCTTATGTTGAGTGAGCAAAATTTGTCTCTGCGATGTATGTTCCAAGCAAATTTGGTTAATTATCCTCCCCCTTTCTTAGAGTGAAGGCACACTTCTAGCAACAGGGTCTTATGATGGGTTTGCAAGGATATGGACAAAAGATGGTGAGTGAATTTGTGGTTTCTCTACTATATACAGTTCATATTTATTTCTCTACTTGTTAATTTCACAATTTCGAGACAAGGATTTATAGTCTTGAACGTTTCCAATAAGAGTAGCAATTCTTCGTACGTGTATCAAATCTAGTTGCCACAAGGAAATGCAAAATATTTAGGTTAAACATGCAGAATTACTGACATTTTATCATTAATTAATGATCGTTTTTCTGTCCCTTTTAAGGTAACCTTGCCAGTACGTTGGGTCAACATAAAGGGCCGATATTTGCATTAAAATGGAATAAAAAAGGAAACTTTATCCTTAGTGCGGGAGTGGACAAGGTAAGAGCCTGGGTTTTGAAGCAGTTGAAATAAAATCTTGAAGAATGAATGCATCCGTTACTGTGAGACTAAACAATTTTATTTTCACCCGTAGACGACAATTATTTGGGATGCACATACTGGAGAGGCCAAACAGCAATTCCCCTTCCACTCGGGTAAAATCTTTTAAATGGCTTTGACATAATTTGAAGCTATGTAATAAAATAGAATTAGAATTCTTTTTACAAGAAGCTTTGCAGTCTTTTATTCCTTCTCTGTTTAATACATTGTTTTAAATTGTCTGCATAAAGTGTTAGAAACTGAGAACATTGTGGCATTTGACCTTTACGGGCAGTTTTATGAAAATATTTCTATTTCCAATTTCAGATATTTATATACAAATGCAATGTTTTGAATTTTACCTAAATTTTCTATGACTTGGGTTTCCCATCATCCTTCCTGCCTTAAAGCAGCTGTCGATGCATAAATATTTTTGGAGGGTTGAAACCACTGTCAAAAGATTCATTCATGATAAACTTAGAGGCCATTTGCAGCTGCAACATATTATGTATTTTGGATGTGAAGCAGAATGGAATTAGTTGCTCATGGAAGATATTGCAGTAACGGTAGTCATAATATCATCCCTTGCACAGGGTTAGACCAAAGCAAAGAATCTTGGGACCTATCCAGTTTATTCCATTGACGAATAGTGTGATTATCAATTATGTCAAGGAGATGTTAAGAGTAATAAGAAAAGCGGCAGATCCTTAGTTATTTTATACTCAATCTATCAGAATTTTTTTAAAAAATGCACTGATTTACTGTGGAATTTTAACTTAGATAGATATTAGCAGTTAATTATTCTGGTCTGTTCAGTGCCTTTGTTTAAACTTGGAGCAAGGTAGGCTTTTTAAAGGTATAACACATTTTGAAAATGTTCAATGGATTGATTTCATGCTGCCCAGCTGTTTTTGTAAAGTCGTGTCTCCTGTGAAGTTAACAGTGGCTTTTATGTTGCTTTACATATTTCAGTCATGTTCATTGTTCTGATGTTGATGGGTATCAGATTCTTGAGGGAATTGTCTTTAATATCCTTTAGCAGCTGAATAGCCACATGAGGGAAATTGAGCTTCGAAGTTTATCTAGTGCAATTTAATTCAATAATAAATTTCATCACTTATTTTTTAAATTCTTATACAACTTAGCAACCCAGAATCTTGACTAATTGAACTAATGCCTTTTGTAAAATGTAATTAGATTCATTCATTCTCAACTAGTTTAATAGCATTATAACTGCACAGCTCTAATAAGAACTTCACTTATGCCATGTTTATTATGTCTAGTTTATTGTCTCTCATTTATATGGTACTTTTGAGTCAATTTGGTAAGGAAAGGGACCATTTAAAATCACGATCAACCGGCTGTTTAGTAACTTACAATGCTAACTGCCGTTTGGTGACAGCAAAGCTTATCAGCCTCCAGCTAATGCCATTTCTGTGTCTTAATTAGCTGCTTTGCTGCTGGAGGTGCTAATGGATTGTCTGGCGTTATATATTGGCCATGAATACATCAGTTGTCAATAGTACGTGTCCCCTTCTGCATTTTTATTTACCATTTTTCGAACTAAATTGTAGAGTGGCTTCCGAAGGCCACAATTGGGTTTTAATCAAAATGATCTCTTATCATCTACCAAACGGTTACCTAATACGTACATATGGCATCTATTATGGAGACAAAATGTTTACTTTTTTTTAAGTTTATTAACTGAGCACGTTACAAAGTTGAAGCATACCTCTATATGAACAGTGCATACAGAAGGGCAACATCCAATGTTCAATCACCGCATAATGTCTAGCATTTGGAAGTGGCACTCCTACTTTAGTTTATTTACTGCAAGCTTTGCTCCCTGATACTTTTGAAAACATCAGCATTTTGAAATTGTGCGATGCTTGTGTAATACGATGCTGCAAAAGTACATTTCTGCTCTGGGAATAATAGGCGATGCTCGTGAGCAACTCAACTCTGTTCTGCTCTGCTTTCAGCCCCGGCCCTAGATGTTGACTGGCAAACCAACAACACGTTTGCTTCTTGCAGTACAGACATGTGTATCCATGTCTGTAAATTAGGTGCGGACAGGCCCATCAAGACATTCCAGGGACACACGGTAAAGCCTTTATTTAGAATCACTAACCACTGGAGTTCCTCGATGCCTAGTGAAAAAATGCATGACATAATGCACTGAGCAATGCAGGACAGAAAGAACCCAGGTTTTGTTTCTGCCTGTGCTAAATTACTCTTCTCTAAACTGAGCATGCATCACTCGGGCTGCCTTTGGCTGCGATGTGTTTGAATATTTAGTTTATTTAAATAGAAAGAAATCCCTAAGCTTACCAACAACAACAACAACAACAAGATTCCATTTATAGAGCGCCTTTCACGTCAGGAGGACGTCCCAAGGCGCTGCACAGTTGGGTCACCAAGTGTGCTAGGCTACTTTTATGAAAATAGGCCTTCGTTTATCACTGCATTTCAGCTGCTTTTTGAGGATTTCCCATAATCTTTGTATGTTTTCAGAGGGGGCAGATTTGAGATCATTGCAAAATGTAAATTTTAGAAGGATTGTTTTTTAAAAGAAAACTAATTTTAAGAATAGTTGAGTGATGTCTTGGATGTGCCACCTTGGTCATCTTTTATTAATTATTTTATGAATTATTTATTGATCAACAGTTTACGTTTCAGCTCAGTTAATATATGTGAATCAATGCAGCACAAACGTGTGACTAATTCTGAATACCGCTCTTCCTGTACCTGAAGACATAATGCTCATATTCTACTAATGAGATATTTTCAAAGAAAAACTCAACAACTCCCATTAACTTGCATTAGACATTAAGAAACTGGCTAATTTTGTTTTAATAACTCAACTGTTTCCAGAATGAAGTGAATGCAATCAAGTGGGATCCAACTGGGAATCTACTTGCATCCTGTTCTGATGACATGACCTTAAAGGTACATCTGTTTTATTTTCTCTTTAGTGGTATTTGTGATCAATTTCTTTATAAGGAACTTTTGCAATAAAAGTGATATTTTTACTAGAAACGTAGCAATTTTTTTAATGGAAATAATACATTTTAAACACTCATGATTAGAATTGAGTAACGCTGGTTATAATGCTTTGAATGTTTGCAAGATTAACTGCAAGACTACCTTATTCACAGAGCTATGTTGTAACTTTACGTCAGCAAATAAGTGGGATCGAGGCCATTCTATGGCAGTAAAGACTAAATTTTATTGGAAAGTAGAAGATTGATGGGGGCCCCACTGGCCTTTCATCTCTGCATTTTTAAAAATTTGAATGTGTTTGCAGTTCGCGTCTTTATTAGTTACCGTGGAGTCTTTGAATTAACGTTATGTTCATGTATTTTTCAAATACACCATTGAATGCAGAAGTGTAATAATCTATGTTTGCAGAGATTAATATTTTCTTATGTTGGGATTTGATGTAGTTTTGTTCTTTACTGTAGATCTGGAGTATGAAGCAAGATACGTGTGTCCATGATTTACAAGCGCACAACAAGGAAATATACACCATTAAGTGGAGTCCAACAGGACCTGGTACTAACAATCCTAACGCCAACCTTATGCTAGCAAGGTAAGGTTGACTAAAGCAGTGAAGTTTACATTTAGCTTCCAGGCTGCAGTTTGTATAGATTATTGCTTTATGCTGTGTAATGATCACATTATTTTCTGCCAAACATCTGAAATAAACGCACATATGTTGCTTGTTGTTGACCTGTAAAGCGTGGCCCCTATTATTCCTGTGATCTCTGATGTTTGCTCTTGCAGTGCATCATTTGACTCCACTGTGCGGCTATGGGATGTGGACCGAGGTATCTGTATCCACACTTTGACCAAACACCAGGAACCTGTGTACAGTGTAGCGTTTAGTCCGGATGGCAGATATCTGGCTAGTGGTTCTTTTGACAAGTGTGTTCACATCTGGAACACGCAGGTATGTGTTATAAAGATCGACTATTGTTTGTTATGCTGAGGTTATTTATCTGCTTCTGCCTGTTTCAGTTGAAGCATGTATCATGGCATTAATAATAATCCCTCCAAAAAACCAAAAAAAAACAATAATAAATTGGTCATTTTCAATCTACGACTGTTTGTGGGACATTGCTGTGCACAATTGGCTGCCGCGTTTGCTCACAAATATACAGTCAATTCACTTTACAGTGTGTTCTGTGAAGCGCTTTGGGATGTCCTCCTGACATGAAAAGCGCTATATCAAATGCAAGGATTATTATTATTATTATTATTATTACTACACAGCAGCTATCTCATTACATCCCGCTAGATTTTTGATGATTAATCTGACGTCAAGAATTGTTTTTGTTTACAGACAGGTGCTCTTGTCCATAGCTACAGGGGAACAGGAGGGATCTTTGAAGTGTGCTGGAATGCAGCAGGGGATAAAGTGGGTGCGAGTGCATCAGATGGTTCAGTAAGTATCATTCTCAGCACTTGATGCATCTGTTTTTATGAGCCAGGGAGAGTTAACAAAATGAGAGATAATGGCTAACATTGAACCAGAGTCCTGCCAGCCTGTTTATACGGATGTTAAAAATCCCATGGCACTATTCGAAAAGAGATGGAGTATCTCTCTGTGCCCTGGACAAATATCTCTTCACTCTTTCACCTCCTATTTCACCCCTCCCCCTCCGCCCCTCCCACCCAATGACAAATGGCCACTCAATTCATTCCCCTTTGTGTGGCTTTGCTGGTTGCAAGTTGTCTACCACGTTTGCCTACAAAATAGTCACTTCACAGCAACTCCTGTGAAGTGCTTTGACATCATCCTCGCTCAAAAGGTGCTAAATCAGATACAAGTATACTCCATTGCCAGATTAATTAGTTTTAAGACTACAAATGCCTTTCTTTAATAAAAAAGTTCCACACAATGTTAAAAAGAGAGGGCACTGAGTATTAAAGTTGTGTTTACTATCTATGAATTGAAAGGATGGGAAAATGTTGGAGGGAAGTTCATTCTAGGGAAAGTTTAGTGGTTTTGAAGGAAAAGTGGAGTTTTGGTCCAAGCAGCCTTTTCTAGGTTTCTTTTGTGTTATTTCACCTGAAAAATGAGAAAGCTCCTTCTACATCTCACATCATGTGACTTGTACATTCACACAATTCAGACTGTGTCTCCACCTACTGATAGCATCTGTTCCCGAATTTCACTTTAAAAACGTAAATCAATGTACTCACATTATTGCTATGTCTAGATTTATTTCAACCGGTAGTTTAGGAGAACCTGTTTATTTTTAGCTAATTGAAATGGAGGACATAAAATTGTTCCTCGTCATTGTGTGAGGACGTTGTTAAGCATAAAGAAATAATAGAATGTTCTATTTCATTAGCTTTGGGGTTTACACTCTGAGCTCTTACTCAGCCTTATAATGTGTCTTCCTTACTCAGCCTTACTGCATAATGTGTGTTTCTTTTTAAAATGGTATATTGATGGTGAGGCTAACTAAATCTGAATCCTATTAATGGAAGTATGCATGTTTAATAGAGATAAATAAAGTCACACAGTAAATTGACAAAATATTTCTGTTTCATATTAAAAGGTTTGTGTGTTAGATCTGCGGAAATAACGCTGCTAGCTGGAAGCCATGGACCGACTATGAATGTGTACATAGCCAAAATGACTGTCCCTGCCCCATGTACTGCTACAGTCTCACTTGAACCATGGCCAGTCCACTACAGCCAAAACAGTCCAGAAAGCAGAGCCCAGGATGGGACAACTGAGCCCTGATGTGAAAAACACCCCGGACTGCTTAATGCTGGGAGCTCCACCTCACAAAGAAAATTCAACCTTTCCTGAAGATTTAAAATAACTTTAAGACTTCACACACACACAAGACCATATGTGTACCAGAAGCGCAAGGTAGCGGAGGACAAAATATCTTTTTTTGGTCCAGAGTCAATGTAGAACGAATTATCTTGTCGGCAGTTCAGCAGATTTGTGTGCACATATCAGCTTCTTTAAATCAGCAGCAAATAGTTTGTTCCCTTGTTTTAAACATTGTTTTTACCACTTTAGTTTACAGTTGCATGAAGTAGGAGAGTGACTGTTCCTTCTTTTCTTGCTCTTCCCCACCCACCCCCCCAGCCCGCCCGTCCCATCTTACATTTACAGAACACACAATTAGAACAAACTTTTTTTTATGGATACAGTGAGTAAGATAACCGTGTGTTTGGTATGATTTTTTGGGGGGTACATTTTCTTAATCACAAAGTTCAATATGTGGGAAAACATCGAACCAACCGCTCCAAAACTTGAATTAAAATTAGTTTTCATTGTACATCAGTCATAGATAAACAAGCGTGGTTTTACAGGTGATGTGGCAAAAAAATTAGTAGTTTTTCAATGGGGACATGATTCTGCCGATTTATAATAAGTGAACAAATGGGCACAAGGACAGAGAATCGCTGCAGGACTGGATGGACGCTCCTCTTTGCTTTAAGACCATAGTTTGCGTATGGTTGGATTTGTGCACTATTGTTAGAGCAGCTTATATAGAATTTTGAAAAATAACTTCTGGACACAAGATTTTTGCTGTTCTACTTTCTTTGGTAGAGCTACAAGCATCAATTTCAGTATTCCAGTATTAATGACTGATATCTCGTAAGCAAAGGTTTTAAATCCTATCCCAGTGCAATGAGATACCACCCCCTCACCCCCACCCCTGCCGTTAGGCAGAAATCATGCAGGCATATATTTTATGTTGATGCTAAGGCAAGAGTTGACTTGCTTTTAAAACCTAATTTCCTCAGACATGGGTTCATCTCAGCTCAGCTCTCTGACACACTTGCACTTCCTGTGTGCAGTGAAGGACAGGTGTTAAACTTGCAATAGCTTTTTTTTTAGAATAAAGTATGTTATTCTATAAAGTATAGAATATCTGGGCTTTTAAACCTCAGGGGACCCTTCTTCAGACAGTGAAGTGGCTAAATATTTCTGCTAAAAGAAACTCGATTACTTTTTCACATGAAGAAAAGATGTTTGAGGTTTCAAATTCGTGGATGTAATGCATTATATAAAGTCAGTTTAACAAAGGTATTCTTCTGCTTCCCATGTCCCATACAGTAACAGGTTACAGGAACAAGGTTGTTGCAATTATTTCATATCATCACCTGGGCTCTTATTTTGACACTTGGAAAGAAAATTTTTGTAACAAAAGTAATGGTTTTGTTGTTGGAAGACGATTTTGCCTCGACAGTGTCATTCAAGTGAAGTCATTTGGGACGGCTTCCAGATAACGTTCTGTAAACCAAGAACTACTACAGACACAGGTTTCCCTTCCCCATGGATATCCTTCTGGACCAGTAAGATCAGAATGGCTTTTAGACATCTATTATGGCCTTTCTGGTATGTGTAGATAGGCGAATAATTGAACAGGTTTGTCTTGTCTCACTTATAAATGGAAACCCATCAGTTGTTTATGATCCTATACGAGTAGGTTTCACCATATCCCGGTGACAGGCTTTATCATTCTCAAAATGTTACCCTTTCTTGCTAAGTTTGTTGTGAAGTTGACCTTAAAGTAACGAGTCCTCTCCTATATAAAAACTGATGCAGTTAACATGTACACTGACTGCATTGCTGGTGGATGTTTGCAGTGGGTGGCGTAAGGTTTGCAGGAGAAGGGTTTGTTGCCCAGTATTTTCTGGCTGGGTTGCAAGAAAATAAATGCTGACGTTTTATTTTTAGTAGCAGTGAGTCCTTAGGCTCCTGCAAACCATTGTACCTTTGGTGGGGTGTCCAGTCCTGGAGAAAACAAGACCAGAACGATGTTTTACAGACAACAGCGGCAGAGTTGCTGTTCTCTTGATGTGGCTGGTGTCCTGCCATTTTTTATTTTTATTTTAAATTGCCAGAGTGATGTTGAGGTGGCCTTTACCTGATTTCATTTTGTGCGTCATGAATGGTTGGGAGTTACCACTGCTAGGCTTAAGGGCAGGCGGGTACCCATGGAAAAACATTGGGCAGTGTTTGAACTGCCCGTGTGTGAGAACGGGGGGGGGGGGAATTATCTGAGATGGTAATTGTTGTTTCACATCAGCCAGATATGACCTGGATAATTCCACACTTCTGCTGATCAGCAGGTTTGTTCCTAATCACTTTACTGGTGGTAAGTGCACATAGACTTTGACGATCAGAGGCTCTTGCTCATATCTTCTGCTGGGACTTTGGGACTGAGAACTGAACAGAAACCATTGTGATGACAATTTTAAAAAAATAGATTTTTTTTGAACTACCTGAAGTGAGAGTAATTAAAAACTGTCGTCCTTTCCCTTTGTTTAAACCAATATTGATTGGATATACATCACTGACGTAACTGTTGCTCACCTGTTCGATTGCAAGTGCTGTGTTTATTTCGGAGGGGCTGCAAATGAAACCGGAGAGTTGGAGCGAGTGAAGTGTTTAGGTTGGTGAACACGGCGTTTGGTGCATTCAGTGCTGCGGGAGATCGATCGCACACCAACTCTCTAAGCACTGGATTTAACATGTTTGCATCATTTCTACAGTTCTCACAAATTAAGATTTAAAAAAAATTGTGAACCTGTAAACCAGGCCATGAAAGGTTTTTTTCTACTCTTTGAACTCTATTGTTCTGTTTTATTTGTACCTGTTTTAAAAAAAAACTGATTTTGATGTACCATGCTGTCCTGGACCATGTAAATATCATCTGATAATGTATTTGGGTTCCACATCACATTAATGATTTGCCCTTGGCCCTCGCCCTCCCCTTCCATCACCTCCCCCCCCACACGTATGACCACCAAGGCACATCCTCTGTTGCAGCTTCCCTTTGCATTGTACTGATCTGACGACCATAATTTGCATCAGATCTGAAAGAGGTCCAGAATAAAATATATTTTGATATTACATTATCGTGGTCTTTTGGAAACTATACTTTTTTGTTCGTGATCACTTCAACCAGCTCCTTCATATGTGTTGGAAAAAAACACAAGTATCATGTGGGTTAAATATTACTTTTTATTTAATCAGTAGGATTTAGCACATTTTAATTGTATGGTGTATGCAACAGGTGGATTCTAAATTCATGAACATTTCAACCCTGTTCAGGAAGCACATCGTCTTAAAATAACAGTTTATAGGCAGTCCAGTTATTTGGTTCCCATCCAGTTATTGATGTGATTTGTGGGCATTTCAAGGAATATTGCCTGGAAATCAGTAAGGTTTGTAACATTCTATTCAGCTGCCACTGCGAGGGGAGCAATTATTGCTGTTAATTATACATAGATAGTGGAAGCTAACATTTTTGAGCCACAGAAGGATTGACAGGGGGTGTTAATAGTGATGCATGCAAGTAACTTCATTCACAGCCAAATCTCACATCCACAATGCTTAAGCCTTTTCCCAAAAGGGTTTAATTTTTTTTAGAAATTAATTAGCAATCATTATTTTTGAATTCTGCTGTTTTACTCTTTTCATCTGAAATCACCCAGAAGCTTTGAAGATTAAAGGCCTCCTTTCAAGTCAAAACGTCCATATTGCCCCTGGTTAGCTCAACCATGCATCCATAATTTTAACTTGCGCTCCTTTTGCGATATCTGCAGGTGCCACACAATCACTTCATGCAAAAGTCAGTTTCAGTGTCATCCATTTTTATAGTAAAGGTCAAACCTTTGTTAATTTACCTCCCTGTTAATTCTAGGGATGATAACAACTGGCAGTCACTATGGAATAGTCTTAGCCTAGTACAGTTATATGAGTAAAATCTGTAGATGTGTAAAGGTAAGACCTGACTTTCTCCAGTGAGATACAATGGCATTGATTGGAAATGAGCCGCTCCTCCTTCAAGGCCCATCTCAAGATGTTTCCCTGACTGCCTTCAGTCATCCTGCAACTCCCAGCTTGGGTGCAAACCCGTCACTGTCCAGCGCCTTGGGATGTCCTTCCGACATGAAAATGCCATTTTTGGCTGAATTCAAAGGCAATTTCTTATAAATTTGATACATAATTTATTTGGGTTCCTCCTCGATTACGTGTAGGTGCAGAGTTGGTACTTCATGCCATTATGCAGATTTAATTGAATTCTCATTGCACTGCAATCTCATAGCAACTCTTGTTTTTCCACAAAGTCCCAATTCACATTAATTTGATGTGTTAGCTAGCACTAAATACACTTTGGTCTTATCTATATTTTCATGGAGCTGTACATTTGCATAAGGCATTAATATCTATGGCTAGATTTCAGGGTAATTGAGATAAATTCCAACAGTGTGTGTGGGAAGTAAATTTATGGTATGGTATAAATGATCTGCTAAAACGGTAAGATAGAGGAGTTTTTCCCAGTGTCCTGGCCTTGAATCCCCTACATAAAATTGAACATTTGCTTCATGCTGTTTATGGAACATTGCTGTGTGCATTATTGGTTATCACGTTTGCCTACAACATATTCATTATACTTTACCGTAAATCCTGTAAAGTGATTTCAGACTTCTTCCCAAATACGTACAGAAAAATTGCGTTGTTCTACAATTAATTTGACCCTTGACAGCTGAACTAAGTTCAGGAACAGTAAAATAGTTTGATACTGCTTGCATTTCCTATGGTGTAAATGTACACATTTTTACATTAAAAACAGTAGCATATCAATTATTTTTGAACTTGATGTGACTGAAAAGATGTTTAGCCTCCAAACACATCACATTACCTGAAATTGTCACTCTTATTAAAGATCTTCCTGAAATGCAAAAGCATTTCATATAGCTTAATGTCTCAACACAAAGATACATCTGACAACCCAGTCTTTTAAGACCTATGGCTATGGGTTTGCTGTAGCATTGGCTGATATTAAATGTGTGTGAGTCCAACTCTGGGCCATCAGAACCAATGACTCCTCAATGTCATAACCCACAGCAAAGAGGAAATAAATTGGGAGAAGCCAGTGTAATGAAAATACTCTGGGGCTTGTGGTCAAAGGCACGATGATATGTCTGAAATGAGTAAAGTAATCCAGTTAATAATGGCAAGTCACTTGAGTTATTTTTATATAAAAAAGCACACACACAACTAACCCCACAATATTCAACAACAACAACTTGTATTTATATAGCACCCCTTAAGCAGGCTAGCGCCCCAGAGCTTTTGAAATATTCCTTTTATAAGGTTTTAAAAAGTTTTAAATGTTTTTAACTCCATTTCATGTCTCCGATACGTGTCTTTAAGTCACCTTCTGCTTTTTAACGCCATGGGCTATGCTATGAAATTATTACAGATCTTTTGTCAGTCAAGAATGCTCAGAAAAGAATGTTTAATGTCTGAAACACAAACAACAGTTCATCAACTGTCTCTTGAACTGACGGTATGAAAAGATGAAAGTATCAGCACTTACTTGTATGGCTCTGACTGGCAATTCCGCAGCATTAGGAAAATAAATAAACCAGCTTCAAGGTTTAAAGCGAATGATGCAACTTTATCAAGCACCACAACAAATCCCTGTAGAAAGCAATAAAACATTCATTTTGTGGCTGTACATTTATCCCCCCCCCCACTCCCCCTCCCACCGGTTTGGTTGTGTCAGGTCATAGGTGAAATTTTGGCTGTTTGTTAAAATTTGTTAAAAAACATGTCAAGAATTGTGAACCCACAATGGACGTAAAAGCTGGAGCTCAGCCAGAGATTTGTCTGTTGGGTTCAGTTTAAGTACCCGCTGTGTATAAATTGGATGGGACAGGGTCGATTCAGCTGGAGCCAACCCTCAGGCCAGCACACAGTCTCCCTCGCTCTCCCACAGAGACAGTGAGATAAACAGGACACAGCACAAAGGAAATACAACCAGGAACGGAAATAAAGGAAATCTGAACCCAGCAGAAAAGCTGATTCACTTTGTGAACTGAACTAAATGTTCAAAATTTGAGGAAATTTCTGCACTTCCGAGATTGGACAAACCAGTTCACCTGCTCCTCTCACATCCAGTTTCAGTGTTGCCGTTTCTTTGTCAATAGTGAAGCTAAAAAGTTGGCAAAGATACACGTTTTACACCCAATGTCAATTTATAAAACCAAGAGGTTCAGACCACACGGTGACTGGGACATCCTGACTGTGACTAACAGCCGCCTGTATCACATGAAAACAATAAAGAACACGAGTCGAGCATTTCATGTCTCGTTTAAAAAAAGGACAGCATTTTTGGAAAAAAATCTAAAGGCAATTTAAATTGAAAATTTGGCTGATATTACTTTACTGTACATCACGCATTTATTTACTAACATTGCAGGTATAATTCAAACCAATATATGTCAACTTGCAATGACGTTTCAGTCTATTTAGAGAAAGAGTGAAACCTACCTTTGAATCAGACACAGCCACAGTAAAAATAACGGTGAAGGCCAACAGACTGACACACATCTTTGTCATACTGTAAATGGACAGAGTGGTTGCTGTTAATTACCTCGTTTCCAAGATGTGCAGAGAGAGCGCGTGAAACACAAATGACACCCGGAAACAAAGCCACCGTTCGAACGCTATAACGGTGAGTGGAGATTTCCTTATAGACTCGCAATCCCAAATGGGGCTGTTTTCCAGCAATCGAAGGTGTCCCCGCAGGCTTTTCCGATGTGAGTGGAAGGCGGGAGAAGGATTTCCTCAGTATATTTGTGTAGCCACTTCTGTATAGTGGACCATAAATCTATCCACATTACAGTCAATCTAACAGATTTACAGCAGTGCAGGCTGCTGTAAAGAACTGAACCAGTAAACGTGGGTTACTTACAGACTTTAATGGTAAGTTTTAACAAGTTCTGTCCTTGAACGTTTATTACTGTTGAATCACTAAAAGCTAAAAATACACCCCAGCTCTGTGACTCGCTATTTAACGGCTGTGTTTGGCATATGATGGCTCTGTGACACAGCACAGCACAGTACTTAATCCTGCTCCGGGATCTGCTAAACATACAACGTCGGCCCATTACTGTGATCCATCAGTTACGCTGCATCTCCAGAGAATGTGTCAGGATAACTTGACTTTAACAAACCTGCGCTGGTTTGGAATTATTGACTTTTTACTCTTGTCAAATTGTCTCGAATTGCTTCCCTTTTTAGTCAACATCAATGCTTTATTTCCATTAAAGTTGTCAGAGCAAGCGGTCTGTAATTCCCAGAATTGCGCTTTCTGACCTTTTCAACAAACAAAACATGAGCAATATTCTAATCTCTGTATTAACAGCCTCGTCTCAGCTTTCTGTGTGTCCGCCCACAGTGTTGATGGCGCGTTTTCCCTTTTCTCAAGGTTATTCAAAACCTTCAGTTTCTATTTTAAAATAATAACAATAATAATAAACCTTGATTTTGATTTCCCCACAAATTACCTTTTCACGTCTTTGAGACGTCTCAAAGTGCTTCACAGAATATACTGTAAAGTGAATTGACTGTATTTTGTGGTCGAAACCACTGATCATTACTCTGAGCATCAGCAAATGATCATGAAATCACTGACCTTCATTTTCATCATGAATTCTGGTAAAGCTCCTGTCCTTTCATTACCCTGTAATGAAAGGACAGGACTCTGTAGCTCAGTGGTTAGAGCACTCACTTTACAAGCGAGAGACCTGAGTTCAATTCCAGGCAGAGGGCGAAACCTTGGGCAAGTTTCCTTACTCCACACAGAGCCTAATAATATTCCCTCCAAAACCAAAAACAATAATAAATTGGTCATTTTCAATCCCCGACTGTTTGTGGGACATTGCTGTGCGCAATTGGCTGCCGCGTTCGCCCACAAATATACAGTCAATTCACTTTACAGTGTGTTCTGTGAAGCGCTTTGGGACGTCCTCCCAACGTGAAAAGCGCTATATCAAATGTAAGGATTATTATTATTATTATTACCCAGAAAGGGAGCATCACATTTTTTCCATCATAAACCATGAGTTTTCTTTGAACAAAATGCCACCACTATCCCTCTTCCCTCTCCCACTATCTGATTTCAAACGATCTTTTGTTTTTCAGTACTTGGTTTGATGAAAGAAAATTCCCCCACAAATTGCCTTTTTATCCGCTTTTTAAAATTGGAATCATATTTCAGGGGGAAAAAATGAAGGACAAATGTCATGTCTGACTGACTGCACAAGCATTGATCTTCAGTATTTTGTACATGGTATAGCTTGTATTACGTGTTGGCTATCTATCCTGCTTGTTCAAATGAATTATATATTTGTAGCCACAATATAAAAGCTCAGTACAAGCTGCAAGAGGGGCATTTCCTTTCCCACTGATCACCCGATGGAATGGAAAGTGATGGCGAGATTATGCAGGAGCAGAAGTAAAATATCTTGTCTTGTACCTTTTCAAACTCCACATCTTATGGAGCCGGGGGCAGTATTCAGAGGCACTGTCACACCTCCTGCTCCAGAATGAATCCACCCAACCTTCCACTGCAAGGGAAAGTCATAAGATTGGAAAACTCTGATTTTAACAAATATTCAATACTTTCAATCATCACTTGCACGGTTGGTGGTATAATAAGCAAATTAGTCACTCAATCCACGTCTGTCTGTGGGACACTGCTGTCCGCAGCAATTGGCTGCCATGTTTCGCCCACAAAATATACAGTCAATTCACTTGAAGACGTGAAAAGGCGCTGTATCAAATGCAAGGAATATTATTAATGCAGAATGCTAATGTGATAACGATGTGGTTACACGAGAGTGGTAAAATTTAACAAGGTTTTGTGTGTAGGTCAAACATTAATTAGTATTCCCGCCCGACCATGGTACTCCTATAATTATGTATTTTATTAATAGTTTCTTCCTGTTTTATAACCATTCTAATTGTTGAATCCTTATGGTTTCTTTGACTCGGATCTCCGTTTTAGTGCCGATCTGTGTCATATAACAAAAGCTGGATACCCAGAATGTTGCCCTGAGCTCACGTGGTGTAAGAGAACTTTCACAAGCGTTAACACAGAAGGGAGTTTCTCCCAGTGTTCTGCCCGGACACAATTAGTCATTCACTTTGTGGCTGTTTGCTGGACAATACTGCACACAAATTGGCTGTCATTCACCTTCACCTTTCCAGGCAGAGGGCGAAACCTTGGGCAAGTTTCCTTACTCCACACAGAGCCTAATAATAATCCCTCCAAAAACAAAACAATAATAAATTGGTCATTTCAATCCACGACTGTTTGTGGTACACTGTTGTGCGCAATTGGCTGCCGCGATTCGACCACAAAATATACAGTCACTACACTTTACAGTAAATCCTGCGAAGCGTTTTCAGACGTCCTCTCAATGTGAACGACGCTATATCAAAAACAACGGTTAAATTAATAATAATGATAATCCTTGCTTTTGATATAGTGCCTTATCACGTCTTTGAGACTTTATCGTTATAAACAGCTATAAATAGTTGTACCCAATCAAATGGTCCACTAGAGGGACAATATTAACAACACTCTATGTATTGTATTTTTCAGTCTCAACGCAGTGATGAATTTGGACAAAGATTGCAGCACTGTTTAAAAAGCGGCTGAAAACAACCCTACACTAGAGAGAAAAAGACGTGACATAGAGTGGGATTTTGGTTCTAAAATATTTAACTGGAACAAAATTCATGATACGTCTGTTTAACAATTGTGTTCATAAAGAGCAGTGCTTTCTCGAGTTGTACTGTTATAATTGTAAATCATTCACATCAAATTAGCACTGAAACTAACTACAGGACTCCTAGTAAGTGTTTTTTGGACTCTGGTGTATAGATGCATCATTGAGTACCTGTTAGTGAAACAGAAACGACAAACAGACAAGTACAAGGTCAGTGTCTGCACTAATACCAGGGGAGATTTTATGTTGCATGTATATTATTTTTGACAAACAAGAGTTTGAATTCTGTAATTAGCTGTGAGTGTACAGTGAACAGTCACTGCTAATGTCCCATTGTAAACCGCACTTATTGCATGAAATGGAAATGCTAATATTAATAATTCTTGCATTTGATACAGCGCCTTATCAGGTCTTTGAGACGTCTCAAAGTGCTTCACAGGATATTCTGTAAAGTTAATTGACTGTGTGTTTTGTGGACGAAACGTGGCAGCCAACTGTGCACAGCAGCGTCCCACAAACAGTCGTAGATTGAGTGACCAAATTATTATTGTTAATAATAATTATTCATATCATAATTTGTATAATAATTATTAATGATAGATGGCTTTACCAGGAAATCAATTTGAATCAATTTGAACATTTATAAATGTGAATGCTACACATTAATTCAGGTTACAAGCTAGAAATGGCGCCAAATAAATTTGTTGGGAGCAGAGCTACCCTTACGTGTGTTAGTGCTATTGGCGAGTCAGTCGCACTCAATAATCCTTAAAAAATTAAAAACCTAACATGGCTTTGTCAAGCCTGGAGCATGTTCTTAAGATGACATTTGCAAAGCGCTCCTCAGCAACTGATAAAAGCAGATTTGGAGCAGGAAATATACATAATGTGTATATCCCTGGAAATGATGTTTAATCACTTTGACCAGTATAAATAGGAGATGATGCACCAGTGAGGAAGATGATTAACATTCTTATTGAGCGTGACTTATACTGAGTGAAATATCTCGGAATGAATCAACTACCCAAAGCAGACAGAAAACATTAGTGTCATACTTATCGGGGCTTCTTCTCATAAAGTGCTAATTGGTTCATTTAATCTTATTTGGTGACTGGCAACAAAGGTGATATTCAGTCGTGTTAAATCATATTAAGGAAGCGTGGGTTTCCAGTAATTACAGAATTAGCTAACACACTTAATTACTTCATACAGAGAGTTCATTTTCAACGTGATGTCTCTAACCTCGATTTAATAGTACAAGCTCCATAAAGCAATCAAGCTATGGTGAAAGAGGCAGAGAGTTTTGTGATGGGCTTGAGTTCCAGATGTTCACAATCTTCCACGTTAACACACGTTGGGCTCAGAATGTGAGTGTTGGTGACTGGTGTACTGTACCAGACTCCAGCATGAGTCAACGCCTTCCACAAGGTTAGAGAAAGCGTGCAGAAAGCTTAATGAGAAAACTGACTTGGTTGAGTTATTGAGCTGGACACTTGTGAGGTGAGTTGCATTAACATGCACTGTTGGGAGTTGCAGGAAGTCCTTACGGTGACACTCACTCTCTTTAAAATCCTAATTGAATTCTTGACAAGATGAGGTTATAAGATCTTACTCAGAGCATTCAGGGTAACCTTTCTGTGAGCCAAGAGGGAAGATAAAGTAATATTTCTTATCAAGTTCTCTTTTTTTTAAAAGCGCTTAATGCATTGGGGGGGGGGGGGGATTCTAATTCGACTCACTGGCGAACATTCTGGCAATAGGCATGTGTTTTTCTCAATCCAATCAGGATAAAATATTGCTTAAGGGGCCCACAGATGTTTCCCAAATCCGGCCTCAGCAGCCAAACGGTTGGAACCCCAGATTTATAGGATTTCGATGTATAGATTCCTGGTGGTCTAATCTTATGCGACAATATGGATTCTATACGGTTTCAGCTCAGGTCGTGTGACTGACTGACACCTTTGGGTATCTTGGATATAATGGTGTCTCCTGGCCACTCAGCTAAGAGTTTGTGAACTTGTGGAAGGACTGGACTGGACTGTGAGGGCTGAATGGCCTCTCTCATTTCCTGCTTTATGTTTATATGATTGCTCAGTTAATCATCATGCTGCACACTACACCCGTGTTCCTCTTTTAGCACCAAGTCATTTAGAACCCGCAATGGATCAATTTCCCTCACTGCAAAATTATAGCAGGGACTTATAAATGAACCTTCTGGTAGCTCAAGCTCAAGAGCTATCGAGTTTCCGGACTAATTTGTGTAGAGAAGTTTAAAGGGAAACAAAGTCATTGCCCGTAGTTGTATTTAAAATACGATTAAGAGTTAGGATGGTTTTCGGAATGTATGCTGTTCAATTTTTGGAGCATTTATTTCAGGATTATTGATATTCTGATGCACCATATCAGCACAGGACAAAGGCACTGAATTGGTGCAATGATAATGTAGTTCAATCTCAGAGACACAAGCCAACGAGGATCAAACGTTCTAACAATAAAACAGATAATGAACAGCGAAGGTAAAATAAATCTGCAGTTTCTAATACAGTTTTTTTTTTGTCTGACACATGTGGAAACCCATCACCGTTGCTTAAGAATATCCAAACCAAGTTAAGAATTCCACCTATACATGGGAATACTAGAGATAGATCTAATACAGGTAGAATCAATCGGGATCTTTAAGAGGCAGGTGGATAGATACAGAAATTGGAGATTAAGGGATACAGAGAAAAGGCAAGAAATGGGGTTAAAAGTACTGCTGAGATATAATAAACTAGGGGAACAAGCTCAACTGACCTGAAACTTCCTGTTCCTATGTTTAAGCAACTTATTTTGTTCAGCAAACAACGCATACGTCCCTTTGTACATTATTTTACTGATTGAGAGTCGTGTGAAGCACAGTGAGTGTAGTGTGTGGGTATGGAATTGTCAGAACCTGACATCTACAGCATGTCAAATAACCGCAAGTAAATGCTTCAAACTGGGTAAGATATTGCTTTACGTGTATAATAATATAATAATAATAATCCTTACATTTGATACAGCGCCTTATCGTGTCGTTTGAGACGTCTCAAAAGCGTTTCACAGAATATACTGTAAAGAGGTTTATACAAGGAGTAACCTGGCGTAGGTTTCATGTAGATGATAATAATGCTAAATAAGCAACTTGTTTAGTTTCTCCCCAGTCCTCGCTGTTATGACACACAACAATCTGGGTGTGACCTACCCACGTGAGTAGCAAGTGTGTGTTTGCAATGACAGCCCGAGGTAACTCTCCCTCCTGTCTCATGGTCAATGTTTGCTCTTCCCCACAGCCATGTGTTTGACATCAGGACCTCAGCTTTGATGCTTGATCACATGCTCCATCACCCTAACAGGCTGCCAAGGGAGCAATCATTTTCTCTGGGTCAGAGGATGTATCTGAATTGTTTGAGGTTCACTCCGGATTTTTTGATTCATTTAAACCTTTCAATTTCGTTGTTTGCTTCTGACGCAAAAGGTAATCAACAGCTGGAACGAGTTGCCAGTTTAAGGCAAAAAGCAATGGATTTATTTTCAGAGACAGCTTGGTGCTGAAATGGGAGGCCAACTGGGCTGGGAGACCGGAGGGAATGAAATCAAATGAGCTGAAGGAATTTTTTCATCAGATCATTTGGTCCACAGTGTCTGGCTTTTTCTCTCTGGCTGCATGGTCCCACCCCTAACATCCACAAATGCGCAGACACACGCGCACAAATACACATGCACACACGCACACACGCAATACACACACATGCACGCACACACGCAATACACACACATGCACGCACGCACACACACAATACACACACATGCACGCACGCACACACACAATACACACACATGCACGCACGCGCACACGCAATACACACACATGCACGCACGCACACACGCACAATACACACACATGCACACGCGCACTTCACAGTGGATTTGTTTTCTATGTATACATTTTTAATTCACCCACTTACTAAATCTTAGGGTAACAAAAGTCTGTTTGTATTAATAATAACAATAATAATAATCCTTACATTTGATATACAGCCTTTCACGTGAGGAAGCCATACCACTGTGCTTCACAGGAGTTAATGTAAAATGTGACTGTGATTTTGCAGGCGAAATGCAGGAGCCAATTTGCACAGAGTAATGTTCCCCTACAAAATGTTTTCATGTTTAGATTTATTGAAATCTTGCTTATTGTTTTTGTTACCATATTAATTTATTGTTGTGTTTCTTTGTTTGTTAGATCCCGATTTGCTTCAGATTCATTAAGCTTGAATTTGCAAAATGCATCAAAATGTCTTCAACTTGAATATTCGGGCAATTCGTCAAACATTTACTCATTTACAATTTACATTTACTCATTCATTTTAGATGTCTGTGCAAGCAAGAAAATAATATTACAAAGATTAATCGGGAAGTCAGGCCATCTATTTAAATCAAATAAAATCAGGTGAGTTAATGCTCATAGTCATGCAGTAATTATTAAATGGATAGCTTAGCTGGTTACAATGGTTAACAATCTTTGGCAAGAGTTACGTACATGTATGTTTCATTGTAGATCCAAGCACGAGGAAGGAAACAGTAATGCTGACAGCGATGAAGATCTCTGTGAGCCAGGCTACCCAGGCAAACCTACTGTACTGTTCCATTATAATCTGAAAAGGAAACAGATGAATGTTTACATGTCTGACAAGTGAAACAACTCTTACAAACACAGTATACAGTAGGGTTGATGTTTGCTTGTTTTTGCACCATTGAAAGTTATCTAAGTGCTGGGCGGAGCATTCATACCTAATAACACTCAGCAAGGAGAAAGTAAATTATACTGTGGTTTAGATTTCTGAACCTAGATGGGTAATGTGTGTTTGTGTGTGTGTTGAATACTATTATAATCAGTAATGATCTGATGCCAGAGGCAACTTACCATGTGTTGATTGCTTATGTCTTTATAAAGGGAAATCCCATCAGCTGTTGTGGAACAAGCTGACCTCCTGTGGGACATCACAGAGCAGCCCCATAGCAGCTGGAGAGATGACTGCAGCTCAGACCATGTGGAGTGAGCTGCTAAAAGCTGTTATATTGTCATTGCCAAGTCAAACTATCACAGCCACAACCATTAGCAAACTCTCAATAGCAGCCATAGCAATTGAGTCATTTGTTCAAACACTTTCTCCCTACCTCAGCCCTGACAGAATATGCAACGGGTCCCAAGCCTTTGCGTTGCCCAATCACAGTACGGTCGGTGCAGGTGCAGACAGCCTTTTGATGGTTGTAATTGTCGGCCAAACTCTGGTGACGTCAGACAAAGAGAGTCGTTCCAGATGCTTGTGGGTTCAAGCCCCAAGTCTGGACTTGGGAATCACATTGTCTAAGCTGATGATCCAATGCAGTGCTGGATACACCGTCTTTCAGATGAGGTTACTGCATCTCCAGCTGGATTTCAAATCTCCATCTTAAAGTGATAACATAAAGGGCCAGACCACATTCACAAGATCAGTTTTCTTCTATTTTGATGCTAACAGCTGTGGGCCCTTTTCACTTTAAAATGGATATAGCCATGTCCTTGGGTCTCCTCTCTCGAGGTCATGTTACCCCTGACATTAAACTGAGGTCCCGTCTGCCTGTTCAGGTGGATGCTGATCCTGTGGTGCTATTCGAAAAGAGAAGAGAGTTTCTGACAATCTTCCAACTTGCTCCATCCCTGTTTGTAGGATTGCTGTGTGCAAACTGGCTGCCTTGTTATTCCCATAAAATACACAGTCAAAAAACACTTGACAGCATATTCTGTGAAACGCTTTGAGACATCTCAACGGTGTGATAAGGCACTGTATCGAATGCAAGGACTATTACTATTATTTGGTTGGAGAGTGAGGTGCAGATGCCAACAGAATAACGTGACCTGTTCTCGAGAGGAGACCCAAGGACATGGCTGTATCCATTTTAAAGTGAAAAGGGCCCACAGCTGTTAGCATAAAAATAGAAGAAAAATTATCTGTGAATGCGGTCTGGTCCTTTATGTTATCACTTTAAGATGGAGATTTGAAATCCAGCAGGAAATGCAGTAACTGACGCTGTGCTAAGTACTAATTAGAATTTCCGATTAGAGTTTTTTTCTTGAATGTGTAATTATACTGTAAGGAGAACAAGTCTCTTGTACATTAAGAGTCTCTCCCGTGTGTGTGTGGCTGGCTATGGATGGGAAGCAGTAAAGACTGAGCCGAGACTGTGGTCCATTTTCCGCTGGCGTTTTGACCGACAATCTTTCTTTGGCCTTTGCCCACTTGTGGAGTTGGGAATTTCCTGAGCTAATTTTACAGGGTTTCTCTCGGGTCTGTCTTGCCACCGGAGAGCTGAGGTTTCAGAGAAAAAGAAGTCGAGACCTGGGGGTGGAGAGTGAGTTTGGGATTTCACAAGTTGCACCTAATAGGACAAGCACGTTCACTGAAGAGATTTCTCATTCACAGCAGCACTTGTTGGGGAAAGGGTCCGAGTGAGGAGTTCTGATCTGTCCCTGATCTACAAGAATTCCAGCAGCTACTGGGTTTATGCAAAGAGCTGTCTAGAGACTCTGGGAATACGGGATTACGTGTTTCCTTCGAGAACCCTTTGAGGATCCAAGCATTTTGTTGCCCCACATGTGAACCTAACTTGAGGTCCTGCCAGTGGAAAGCTCTCCTGCCTGTGTGTTTTGGTCTCTGCACTTTGTCGACTCGGAACTTAGTGAATTTCAATATCGACGGCAGCAAATTGTGTTTGTGAATATTGCAAAGCAAACGCTGTGCCGTCGGGCCTCACAGATACGGCCACAGAGACAGAACTCACTCAAGCGCATCTGGCGCCTGAAAAAAATCGCATCAGTATTTGCAATATCACCAGTTTTCTGAAGTCGAACATAAACACACACACACACATCACAGGAGCCTCGCTGGAGGAAGGGAATCCATCATCGCAGATCTGCACATACAAGATGATGAAGAGAAAAATGTTTCAGTAAATTTCTCTCTGTACAAAGAGTAATCAGCCCCTCCAGCCGGACTCGAACTCTCATAAACCAAAGACGCTATTGGATGGTCAGGGAGTTGATGTTTTAGGGGGTTTCGTCACCAGACAATAGTAATGATTTTCCCACTGGTTGATTTCTGTGTTTGCCATGACCTATTTCGAATGAGTTCTTGTGTGAAACGCTGTCGTGTCATGTTGACTTACCGACTGTCCTGTGATCTGCTGCAGTAACATTTCTGATCCTAATGGGTACTGTGAGCAGCAGATACACACACATTACTGCGGACACTATGGATATGATTTTCTTTTGTCCAGTGATGTGATCACTTTCTGCGATGACATTATGAAACAACGTCCCTTCAAATTATCCTTCACGGACTCAACAACAACAACACAATTACATTTATATAGCGCTTTTCATGTTGGGAGGACGCAGAGTTCAACATCATGAACCGTGTGTCAGAAACGCTTTAAAGGGCAATTGAACCTCATTCAAAATGGCAAACTGACAGACACAATCCTCTGACACGTACGTGTGAGCAGATCATGTGTTGGGCAGAAATCTGGCATTTAGCATCACCTCTGAGGGGCACCATTGCTTCTCCTTTACCCAATGTAGATCACAATGGCGCTGCTTGAGCCTTGTGGCAGTGAGAGTGGGTGAACAGCAGCGTTTCATATCCAACAACATAGAATCACTGAATATTACAACACAGAAAGAGGCCATTTATAATAATAATAATCCTTGCATTTGATATAGCGCTTTTCACGTCGGGAGGACGTCCCAAAGCGCTTCACAGAACACACTGTAAAGTGAATTTGTGGGCGAACGCGGCAGCCAATGGCGCACAGCAATGTCCCACAAACAGTCGTAGATTGAAAATGACCAATTTATTATTGTTTTTGGTTTTGGAGGGATTATTATTAGGCTCTGTGTGGAGTAAGGAAACTTGCCCAAGGTTTCGCCCTCTGCCTGGAATTGAACTCAGGTCTCTCGCTTGCAAAGCGAGTGCTCTAACCACTGAGCTACAGGACTCCACTCCACATTTGGCCCATCGTGCCTGCGCTGGCTCTTTGGTGGAGCTACTCAATCAGTCCCACTCCTTCCCCACATCCTTGCAAATGTTTCCTTTTCAAGGACCTATCCAATTCCCTTTCTAGAGGCCATTATCTCGTCATCCGTCGCTCACGCGCCCCACACTCAACAGAGACAGCAAATAGGAGTAAACATCTGAACTTTCCTGGGAACACAGAACACCTTGCACCCAATGTATTTATTAACTTTGTCACCATATATACAGCAAACATATATATCTGGAGTCTGGCAAAGGGGAGATTCATTAGCAAATATAAAATCTATTTAATGGATCCAGTTTACAACATCTGAATAGGTGTTAGACATGTCAGGATTTTGACTGAGGAATACAGGGAGAAGTCAAGTGAAGTAAAGAGAGAGAGGAATGACTATTCAGTAAGAATACGATGGTTTCCGAGCTGGAGGGCCCTGGAAATGTCATGTCAAAGGAGACCTGGTCAAGGCTGAATAATGTGGGACGTCATGTCGGATATTCTGAAAGTTTTTCTCAATTTACCTTTGGGGTTAAGAAGAGATAATTGCAGAATTATCCTGGGGCAATTTAATGGTCAGGTAGAGTTCATACCAGATCAGGGCTGTACGTGGTCTAAGGAGGGAATGGACTTGATGTTACAAGTGTCTCCTTTTCCTCCTGTGCTCTTATATATCTCAATTGTCCTTTCGCCCACAAATATACAGTCAATTCACTTTACAGTATAATCTGTGAAGAGCTTTGAGACGTCTGGAAGTCGTGAAAAGCGCTATATCAAATGCAAGGATTATTATTATTATTTGCTGTATTTTCTATGAAGTGAGATAACTTCGGCCTCTCGAGCACGCATTTCACAATTACATTACACATGCAACTTCTAAGTTGGAAGCATCAGAACCAAGATAGTAAATTTCTTGCAGATATGCAAAGGAAAACAAAGCTATGTCATATACAGTCTGTCCCACAGGAGCAAAGCAGAAGGTGGCTACTCTGTTGAGTTCCTGTTTATAGAAGCATTTATTTACAACAGAAATCTCAAATTACCACTGATTTTTGTCTCATATTGCAAGCCAGATCCGAATTATTTAGAGTGTTTCTCTGTCACGGCTCATTATAACATAATTTTCTTTGAGTTTGATACTCAATCATCCCTCAATCCTTTCCCACAAAGAAAGATAGATCACAGTTTTGTTCTACTTCATTCTGAACCGCTGCCTACAAAACGAGATTACAATGTGAGCATGAGATGGGAGGCAAATAATATTTCACGTTCAGTGCGAAAGGTTAAAAATGTCTGAGGTTAAATGTTTTATTACTGTGGGGGAAGAAGGGGAATATCCATATCTAAGATAATACCACAAAATATTTTTCGCCCACAAAATCTACAGTCAATTCACTTTACAGTATATCCTGTGAAGCGCTTTGAGACGTCTCAAAGACGTAATGAGGCGCTGTATCAAATGCCAGGATAATTATTGTTTATTATTGTAATACAATACAAATTGACATTTGTGCTGTGCCTTTCATGTCGAGGTGTTCCAAAGTGTTTAACGGTACTGGCTGGGCAAACAATTTAATCTGACTGA